CTCCAGCCGGTTGGCGGCCAGGTCGGGCTGGAAATGAAACACCGTGAAAACAGGAGCCTGCGTATGATGGGGAAAACACACGGAGGGGATTACGATCGAATATAAACCTGAAACACCCCGCGTTATAAAATCTGCCCGGTGCTGAGTCTGTGACCGTGGGGATAGTTAATTAATTTTCCTGCACCACGGAGAAAGCTGCTTAGAGTGCAGAATGTCTCCCAGCCTCAAAGAAAAGCGCTCTTTCAGCGAAAAAGGAGGATGAGCTGTCCCCTCTTTCTGCCACCTGGGCCGCTGGGGCTCTTCTGAACCTTGGTCTGAGATTTTTTGCCTTGTTTTTGTCCCATGCCACGTGGGAACCCTGTGACAGCAGGGCCAGGCATCCTTCCCTGCAGGAAAAAAGCAAAAGTTTGGCAAGAGGAGGAGGGCTGGACCCGTGGCACCATCACACAGGTGATGGAATGAGCAGAGAAGTGACTTCTTTGAATTTGAGGGTAGGTATGGGATGGAGATCTTAAAATCTCCAAGGTTAAAGGGAACACGCTTGTCATAAGGCTTGACAGCTGAGGGCTCAATGTGGGGTTTATACTACTCTTTTTCCTAAAATGTGGTCAAAAAAAAAAAAAGTTGTGGCGTTGCTTTCCTAGCAAGCTCTGTAAATGCACGGTATAAAAACTGCTTTGTCCTGTACCAGTTACGTGGGCCTGTATGGAGTGAGCTAGAAGAGCAAATCCGCTGCTGTGCTGGCCAAAGAGCACTTTCACGAGCCTTCGCTGACCCTAGAGAAATCCCTTCCTCTCTGCGTGTTCCTGCTAAAATGGTACCCGCAGTGATTTGTGGAGAATGTGGGAGGGAGATCTGAATGTTTATGAGGTTTGTAGAGCTAACCTGAGATCTGGATGACCGTGGCAGCTGATACAGGTTATTTCAGAGGGGATCTAAGCAGCCAGCAGCCAGAGCCATCTCTGCTATAAATTGGAAAAGGTTCTTACGCCAATACAGCCGTCCCACAAGGATGCTAATGGCCTACTTACACTGTTCAGGGCAGGACGGCCGCACCTCCCGAGTTTGCTCCTTGCTGTCAGAGCTGAATTTCCCTGGATATGTGTTGTGTCATCCCATGGTGCCTGGCCGAGTGTGGATGTTGCCAGCGGTGTGATACAGATGTACACCTCCATTTCCCTTTTATTGCTCCTCTCCTCCCTTGTCCTTTTGCTGTTTCCCTGCTGCTTTGACAACCTGCGGCCCCTTTTGGAGCAGTTTGATTTAAACGGTGGCAGTCCCCAGCTTGGTCACCTCTGATCTGGGACATCTCCCTGTTCAGAGGGAGTATTTTATCTTTTTTATTGGAAATTTTGACTGAGTTTTGAGCCGGGGTTTGTCCCTCACTGGGCGTATGTGGAGCTCCTGACACAGCAGAACTGCGATAAAGCCCATCTTCCAGGTACTACTCCAGTACGTGCTGTGGTCTCTGGCTACCTACATGCAGTGCATAGTCAAGTTGTTGGCAGGAGCTTTTCAGGGTTGCTAAAAAGTGCCAAAATTGGGGAGGAAAAACTTCAAGGGAGCAGTTTGGGCTCTCCCGGCCCTTGGGGGCTGGGGGAGGTGGGGTGGTACAAGGTGACAGGAGGGCTTCTCT